GCAGTTAACCAAACCCAAAACTCTAATGGAGGTGGGCCTCTTTTGTTCTCTTTCTAATTGATAGCTTTCTAACAAACCTATTGCCAGTCAAGGACAAGAGAAGCTATTTTGGTATACAGAGTGTATTTATAATTTTTTTTTTCCAGTAGCCAGAAAGGCCCCAGAAGGGATACCAGTGGTATAATTATGTCACATGATGTGGCAGCTCCAATATTTTTTTCCTGTTTTAGAGGGCAGAAGATTAAGTGAAATATATAAGACTTGAGAGGGTGCCACACATTTTACTGCTTAATTTATCATCTGCCATTATTCAGTGGCATGATCTTAAGGCAAAAGAAAAGTAGGTTGCAAAGTGTGGATGGCCTTCTGTTTACTTGTTTCTGCCTTATATGAAGTCCTGAAAACATGACAACTATTACAGCACTTTCTAGGCAGTTTTAATACAACTATTGTACAACGGCAATTATGCATCTTTTGCAGTTGTTTGAAACTTTCAGGTAGGACAGGACTCTGCCAGGTAAGTGATATAGATACATGCATCTGCCGCTAAGAGGAAATTTCTAGGTCGTCGTGTGTTACTCCCTTAAGTACCTATTGCCTATAACTTAGAATACCCACATTCATGTCAATCTGCATTTATGTTTATCCTCTTTCCCATTGCCACAGATACACCAACAAAAACAAAAAGAAAAGAAGAAGAAAAAGAAAAAGCATAAGAAGAGTACAAGTTCTGATAGTGAGGGAGAAGACAGAAAGAAACAAGAAAAATTGAAAAAGGTATGCATAAAACCACTGTCAACTGTATTATCTGCAAATTCTCTTGAAGTGCACTGACTATCTGGCATACCAAGTTCCAACATGACAATAGAGGCTTATTTCCCTCAATTCCCATGCTAGAACTTCTTTCCCATCAGCTATCTTTCCAGCAACAGATCTTCAGACATCCGTATTTATTTTCAGAAACCTATATTGAATTTAAGAGGGAGAGATTGCCTTTTCCAATCAGAACACATTGGCCTAATGAACCAAGTTCTGGTTTTCTTGGATTTAAAAGAGAATCAGAGATTCCTGTTCTGTCTTCTGATACCACTGTGAAATTACATTCTCAGTCTATGGAATAGCAAACTGTATTCTCACAACTATGTGAGAGCAAGTTCCTGTTGATTATTGAAAGAGTCAGTGGATGATGAAGCTTTTATATTTAGCATTAATTATTAGTAGTCTGTGAAATTTGAATAGATTTGCAGCGTAATACCATTTATACACTATTAGCTTAAGACAAATATATAATGTTTCACTTCTGTGTTCATAGTGAGATGATTTTTTATTCTGTTCTGATATATAACTCTTGAAGATTTTATATTGGCCATTCACTGGAATCCTTTGGATCAAATCTGACTTTCACGTGACCTATGTGACCTATTACGGATTGCAGCTTTTTCCAGCTTTCTCATTACTTTTCCCGAGTATCTTTTAGCACAGCTTCACTCTTTGTACCCTATTGAGTGTTACCATCTGCTTACTAGATAGTTGTAATTCCAGGGACAACTGTAATACAGCGGTGAATTTGTATTTTCAGGCACTGAATGCAGAAGAGGCCCGTCTCCTTCATGTGAAAGAAATCCTGCAATTAGATGAGAGAAAGAGACCATATAATAGCATGTATGAAAACCGAGAACCAACAGAGGAGGAAATGGAAGCTTACCAAATGAAGCGCCAGCGACCAGATGACCCCATGGCCTCTTTTCTGGGGCAGTAGTTTTGGGCAAAAGACTTGCAAGCACATAGGACTTGTATATAGGCATCTAAACAGATCAATGTTGTATGTGGGTCACTTTCCCTAAGCAAGTTGTCAGCTGATGTCCTGTTCTTTTGTATTATATTTACGCATGGCCCACCCAGCCTAGAACTCTGATTAAAAAAAAAAAAAAGTGAGCCAGTGTTTTTTGTTGAGCAGCTTTGCTCAAATCCTTGGAAATTATACTGCTGAATGAATTTCTGAATTTTTTTTAAAAAAAACTATTGATTAGAAGAGTCAGTAGATACTGCAAATATCAAACAGCACACAATTGGTAGGGTATGTTTCAAAAATACATAATTGTTTACTTCCCTGAATAGATTAAATATGACTTTGAGGGAAACTATCTGAATCTAATAGAATTCCACATTTCTGAAATGGTTTTCAGTTTCTCAGCAGAATTTATTTTAGCATTCCAGATATTAAAAGTGGCTCTAATATTTCACTTCTAATAGGGTACATTATTCTGTCACAGTTAAAGATTCTGTTTTCCTATAGATTGTGGATCATATTGGCCTGGGATTTTGGGGGTGGTTATGTCGCAACATCAGAATGGCATAACGTTGAAGGAATCTCTTCTGCATTCTTTTAAAAGCATTGTGATTTTGAATAATTTTCAATTTAGTAATTATTTTTTTGGAATTCAAGAATGAGGAATTCAAATTCTTATCAATTTGGAAATGCTCTAATTCTAACTAATGTTTTAACAACATTGAATCTTGTGGTACCAAAGGCTAGTTCATTAATTGTAACATACGCCTAGATTGACTATGCCTAGTCAAACTGAGGAGCTCAAATTGGAGGGAGGTTTTGCCACGTCGACATGGCAAGCCAGAAGTTAATGAAATGCAGAGTACCGTCCAACATTAATATGTAATGCTCAATGAGAAGTAAAATGGATATTTATATTAGTTGATGTGTAATTGCTAAACTTCCTGGCTTTAGTATTTAATTGTAAAAGAAAAAAGTCATTTTGAAGTCATTCTAAATGAATAGAAACAACTTGGCAGTATACATTAGATTAATAATTTTTCCCTGCATAGTGGGAAATTCCTAATGGTGCTTATTGCTGTTTTTTATGTGGCTGTCCTTTGGCCAAAGTTATCCTTCTGGTTATAATAGAAAAGCATTGTTGACAAGTGATGGGATATCTTTTATATACAGATAAAAATGCAATTGGACCCTCAAAAAGAAGATGCAAAAAATAATAGAGAATATTTTGACATTTGTAATTGTAGCATGGACAAAAAGATATCCCATTTTGAAATGTATTATTCCAAAAATGTGTATATATATATATATATTTACATAAGCTTTTTATTGCCTCAGTTTTAATAAATTAATAATCTGTTTAGGTCCAAGTATTGCTTTCTAGTATTGTGCAAGATCTTACTAAAATCTGCAAGATCCATACTATCTTGTTTGAGGATTTTATCTGCAAAAGGAAAATGTTTGCATTTCACACATTTCAAGTGCTTTGTTTTTGTCATCTATTCTGAACTGACACATTGAAAACCTCAGCAAAATACTTTTAAGTGTTTTAGTTGCAAGAAAGCCAGGACACCACTAAGGCTTGCAATTCTGAACCAGGTTTTATACAAGAGAAAAAATGGGAAGAATAATTTTGCATGGTAACCTTTACTGTAAAGTGGGTTTTCACTTTAAACTGAGTTGGATTCTAGAAAAGCTATTGTTTTCTAGATCTGTCCAATTTTTGCATATCCAATGCAACCCAAGAAAGGTTTTTCATTTCCTGTCATATTTGGTTTTTTTCCTAGTTCAGCTCTCATCCCATGTGTTTCCACATAATCTTTTTTATATATTTCCTTTATTTTATACTGAAAGCATTATAATTGCTAACAGCAGGAGAACCTACCCAGAGTCTACATCTACTTTTCCTTCTCTTTATCGAGTGGTAGGAGGCTGATATCCAAAACAGAATATCACCATCTGTAATTTTCCTAATACAAATCACACGGGGGTTTCTTTATTTACCATATAAATATTGGACTATGTTCTGACATGTTAATTGTAAAAGAGGTAGTGCTAATTTTAAATATGAGCCCTGCTTTAGCCTAAACTAAATCGTAATGCTGTTCTGCTTTGCATCTGTGAACATTTCATTTTAACAGCTTTTAGTTATACAAACAGAGCAGTTAAAACCTGGCTTGCCTCATAAAAGCCTAATATAGACTAAGCTAAGCATTTTGTTTTGCTGTTAGAACAGTTTATAAGATCTCTCTTGGGACAAACTCTCCCAGATTTCATAAGAAGCAAGAGCATACTATGTTCCAGCAAAGAATATAGCTATAATATTGCAGGTTGCCAATGCTGGAACAAAGCCGGCTAAGGCTGGGAAACAGCAACTAAAAAGAAGTACAATAAGGCACAGTCAAAGCATCCTGGTGATGAGCAATCACTGATTTACATCAAGGATCAACAAGCAAACAGATCACCAACATATGCTTTTGTCAGTTTTATTGTGGCATTTAATATCACACTTGGAAAAGGTAGCAAGAACTGGGATTATAGGAAGTCTTCAATTCACAACCATTCATTTAGTGACTGTTGAAGTTACAATCGTACTTTAAAAAATGACATGACTTTTTCACAACGGTTGCAGCATCCCGTGGTCACATGATCAAAATTTAGACACTTCACAACTGACATGTATTTATGAAGGTAGCAGTATTCCTTGCATTCCTTTAAACAAAGCATTCAAGATGGCTAAAGATCTTTTGCTAAATGTGTGTATTTTATAAATGAAAACTTTGTTTAAAGAAAACTCCAAGATTTATGCATTAGGTTTCAAATCTTGCCACAGAAACATACTGGGAAGATTTCCTTAGTAGTATATGTACAATATTTGTTTCCCTGAGCATATGCACACTTTTTTTTTTCACTATAGTATATCACTGATCTTAAAATAAATACATGATGCCTGCACCTGTTGAAATTTGGCAAAAATTGTAAGGAACAGAGTTAGAAATACTTGTGAGCTAGATTAAAGGCTACCTGCTGACCAGCAATGAGTAATGGTCCTCCACCTTAGAGACTTTAAGACATGTGGACTGTCCAAGGAATTCTGGGAGTTGAAGTCCACATATCTTAGTTGCTAAGATTGAGAAACATTGTTTAGCATCACTAGGTGGCATGTTGAAGACTAGTAGTAGCTCCTGATCCTTAGAACTCTTTGCCTAAAACACAAGGGGATAAGGGATTTCTCCAAGTATTTAGCCACATGTGTGGAGGGTTTTCTTCCCTGTCTCACGTGACTCAAGGCAGCCGCTCAAACACATTACACAATAATCAAAAAATGCCTCTGGCAAAGCTGAGCCAAAAAAACAAGCTGCTGGAAGAAACTGGGATGCAAATGCAAGGCAGCCACTTCAGCAAACTATATCTGAGAAGGCACGCTTCATTTAAAGGAAGTGCTTTGTGCCAGTAATTCCCAACAAAAGTGGACAACAAGGTCCGGCTGAAGAACATTTGTTTTAAGATTCAGCAGATTTCTGACTGGATGTCAGGCGCTGCTTGAAGAAAGTGGTGCTGGTAAGTAATATTTTATCTTTGACTTAAGTTAGAGTGTTTTTTTAAGTAGGGCTTTCAGCCAGAGGCTATGCAAGCAAAAAGTATGGGCAATTTACTGCTAAAGTAAGCGTGCCACCTTAAAACGGTTGAATTTCTTGAGGTTTGTATGGCACTGACGGGACATGGGGAGATAAAAATGCAGTGCAAAAATGCTGAGTTTTAAAGTTGCAGTTGTCTGTTGTGCAAAAAAATAAATAAATAGTGTGCCAAAGAATCGCTGGAATTGTGGCAAGGTCACACATGATCAATGACAAAGGGTGAAATTCTGATGAGCTGAGTTTTGAAATTGAAAAAAAAAAAAGTCAGGCAGCCACAATAGTCCTTAATTTGCACGTTTCTCTCATTGAACTCCACCGATTATTTGTCTTGGATTCTGCCCTCTCATAAACCACCCATTAGATGTCAACCGAGAAGCTGTTTTTAAAATAAAAGATATTAACACCAAAAAATAAAGAAAACCACCAAATCTTTGCTGTTTCTAGGGAAGGGGTAAAATTAATCCGGAACTAAAATATTCATTTTAAGTAACTAAATAGTAAAACTAAGAGAACAATTGTCACACACACAAAAATAGCCAGAGGGATGTTTGACGTGGCTTTTGTGATACAAATGAAGGGGAGCTTCCTTTCCAATAAGATCCATCTGTTCCCCTTTAGCTGCTAAAAGAAATTTTAAGAGAAGGTTAAAAAATAACAGATAGGTTCGCCTTTCACAACTAATCAAACTATACTCCATTTTAAAACTGTGGGTTTATCTTTTCCCATGCCTTCGGCCAACAAATTTGATACGCTTTTCCCTCCATATACTCACCATTCAACTGGTCAATCTCTTAGACTTTCTAACTGCTCTTGGGCATATCCTGTCTCTTTCTCCTTCCCTCCCCATCTCAAGGAAGAGGGAGGGGTTAAACTGGAGACTAGTAAAATACAGTCCATCCCATTTCCCCTCTCCTTCCCCTGCAAAAAAAGAATTGGCAGGGTTGAAGTTTCCCCCAAAACTGGTGCCAATCTTATTACCGTAGTAATTTCTAAGATTTATGTAGCAATGTATGCTTACCTGTTCAAATGTGCCTTGCATTTTTTCCCCTACCGCTTTCTACATTTGAATTTTAGGAAACCAAAACAACATTGTGTGTGAGTGTGCTGTCTAAAGTTAGTACCATGACACATATTACTACATTCTTCCCAGTAAAAAATCACCCCAAAATTTACACATTGTTCAGTGGGTAGCTTATGAAACTTTAAAATACAGTGATAATCTAAGAGAATATAAAAATCGGTGTCACCAGGTAAATTACATGATAAATTACTGTTTCTTAAGAAAATCTGTAAAAACTATTCTTCCCATTCTCTATTAATGCAGAACCAATTTGTGGGTATAACCTTCTAGTGTGAGATAGCTATGTCTGTTATAAGAAGAGTATTCTGTGCAATCTCACAGTTCTTTTGTTCATGCACCAGCCTCCATGCATAAGGAAAACAAATTCCACTCCTTACTAGGACTGCTGATGTTACCTAGTTTGGGTATTTAACCTTCTGCAAGAAAACAACCAAGCTCAAAGAGCACCAAGGACCTCTCATTTCAACCCTGAGCTACAAAAATTCTCCTTTATTGAAAATAAGTCCCAGAGGGAGACTTTAGGCATGGAAGCCAGATAAGTGACCTTGGACCGGTTCTTCTATCTCAGCCCTTGGAAAAAGGCAGGAGTAAATCACTGCCAAGAAAACTGTGTGGACTTGTCTATATACAGATAGTTCTCCACTTACAACACTTTACTTAGTGACCGTTCAAAGTTACAATGGCACTGAAAAAAAGTGACTTATGACCATTTTTCACACTTATGATCGTGGCAGCATCCCCATGGTCACCTGATCAAAATTCAGATGTTTGGTAACTGACTCATATTTATGACGCTTGCAGTGTCCCGGGGTCATGTGATCACTTTTTGCGACCTGATAAAGTCAATGGGGAAACCAGATTCATTTAACAACAGTTTTACTAATTTAACAACTGCAGTGATTCACTTAATAAATGAGGCCAGAAAGGTCGTAAAATGGGGCAAAAGTCACTTAACAAATTTCTCAGTTAGCAACATAAATGTTGGGCTCAATTGTGGTTGTAAGTTGAAAACTATCTGTAGTTGACAGGAGTCAAAGCTGAGTTGCAGGAACAAATATGTAAGGATGAGATTAGTAACTGGCACTAAGCATGAAAGATTGATTGCCTAAAACCAGAGCCGGTTTTGTCCGGTTCAGGTGAACCAGTAGTGGCAACAGCAGGAGACTCCGCTCGCCCACCCACACGTAATGCGCGAGCACAGAGCATGCACGGAAGGCCGTGCACATGTGCAGAGGAGGACATGCGCACTTACATTTGCAAACCGGTAGGGAAGGTAAGTGAAACATGTATACTATACAATAGTATAGCCTGAAACATGTATACTACACAATATATAGTATTTCCTAAGCAAACAATTCAAAAGAACTCTGATTTCCCTTTCTGCAAATAGAAAGGCCCCTGAACTGGATCCAATCAAACTTCCTGTGGAGCTGAAGATTTTTTAATTTTAATTTTTTTTTTTGCCCCATCCCCATCCCCCAGGTATCAGCTTCCCCAGGGTTCCAGAGACGTTCCCCTTCCTGGGAGGGGCCAATATAGAAAATTCTCCAGGTCAAGCTTTTGGTTTATTGTTTGTATGTCTCTTTTAATTATTAAAACATCCATCAGATTCTTTTGTATGTCCAGTTTAGCATCTTTTCCATGTCATTCTTGTAGCCTCTTATCCGTAAGTCCACTTTCAATTCAGTTTGTCTTGTCAAATAAAATTTGTTCCTTTCAAGACATTCTATCCACAGAGGAAGATATTTCTGTTGTCATTGTAGTAACTTCTGACTCCATTATTCAACAATATCGTTCAATATTTCCAATATTTCAATATTCTGCATCATTTTGTATCTGTTAGTCAAGTTTATATGTTCTTCTTTAGTTGAAAGCTTTAGTTCTTTCTAGGGTTCAATATTTAATCCTATTATGTTTTTTACCTTATTATCTTGTACTATTATGTTTGATAATTGAGACATCAAAAGGACATTGCATCTAAAAGCAATTAGCAGGCTTTTTTTTTTTTCCTGACTGGTGCTTTAGAATAAAGACAGTAAACTGTTAATGCTGTACTCTGTAAGTTGTTTGTTCTCCTTTCCCAGCTCAGAGTATAAACATTGGTTATAATTCTTTGGCAGCCATGGGAAAAACAGATGTTTTCTTTCTTATTCTAAGTTCTAGCTAGCAAGTTTTGTGTTTGAAGTCTAGTGGTTTACTAATGTTTATTTCAACTCTCTGATAGATTCTGAGAGCATCCAAGAGAGGCCTGATACTTTAGAACAGAATGGGGGCGGGGGCTTGGGATCCCCCTGTACTATTTTTCATGATTTCAGTGTGTACAACATGGAATAGAGGAAAATATTGGAGACTAATCTAAAAACAAAAATCATTTTCAGGGCTCAATTAAACATTCTCTTTCACTTTCCCACTCTCCTGTGTGGTCTTAACTATGCATATTTTTAAATAGTGAAATTCTGTACATAAAAATAATTCATAACACATTTTTCCAGCAAGCAATTTGCAGTGAAGAAACACATCAGAAACTGTGCTTGATCTCCATTTCTCCCTTTCCCTGAAGACATACAGACTGTTTTATCATTCCTAATTCCTAATCATTAAGCTATTCTAGGCAGTGATTATACTCTGATTTTATATTGTGTGATTTAAACTTAAACCTCCTCCCTTTAACTTGGAGTCAGAAAATTACATTCAAGTGCATCACTTTTTTAAAATACGGTTTCTCTTTCATTTATATATCTGTGTCTCTTTCTACATAATCTGCACTCTGTCTCGGTCATTAGTTTGCCAGTCCCAGTTGTAAGCAATTTTTTCATGTCCTAAAAAAAATGTTTTCACCCTTCCGATGGTCAATACTCCCTCTCAATGACTCAAGGGAAATGTTCTCTGCTCTTCCTCTCTAGAGTGTCATTTCACAGCCATGAAAATAATTCTCTCTGCAACTGAAAGAAGGAAATCCAGGCTTTAAAAGGGCAGAAGCTCCTACCCAGGATTGCTATTCAGCAGGTTCTGACAGGTTCTGGAGAACCAGTAGCAGAAATTTTGAGTAGTTCAGAGAACCAGCAAATACCACCTCTGGCTGGCCCCAGAGTGGGGTGGGAATGGAGATTTTGCAATATCCTTCCCCCAGGAGTGGGGAGGGAATGGGGATTTTGCAGTATCCTTTCCCTGCCATGCCCACCAAGCCACACCACGCCCACCAAGCCACACCCACAGTGTTGTGGATTTAATAAGACAAACACAACTTTTAGATTAATCAGAGACAAATTTTATATATTGTGCAATAGGTTCAAGGCTCTGTACATGAAGCGTTAAACAAAGACAGAAATTAGGTACAATGGTTTTATACCCTTCTAGACAAAGGATTCTGTTAACTCAGCAATTCATACGGTCATATACATTTATCATTTTTAATTGACATTTCCTAATTACTGAGTTTCTTTGCAAAACAGTTATAATTCTTTTTGTAGATTACTGAAGCATAGACTCAAATCATCTTTTGACGATAGACAACTTTTAACTCATGTGGATCCCCTTGACCTAACCAACCCTTAAGCTGTATGTCATTAGAATGTTCCTTTCTTCTGACAACTTAGAGGCCTCCTAGAGGAACCAAAAGGATTTTGGCTGAGTTTGTACTTTTTCCAACCGGATGCATTGCTTTTTAGAATAGAGTGAATAGAAAGTTATCCAGTGGTCATCTATCAGAGCCCGCTTCATTACATTATTCCCCCCTCTGAAAGTTTTTCAATGCAGAAACTTTCACTATTCTCATATAAGTTTAACTTCTGAGTATACAAGGTTCCAATAAACAAATCTACCATATATAGGGTCTAACAAAA